GATGTACATTGAACATGAACTTGTTTATTATGATGTATATGATGTTTTTGATCCATCAGTTGTTGCTTACCATGACTGTATATGACTGCACCATAGAAATTGAAAATGTAAGATTGTTGAGGTTTTTATGTCTTGTTTTTATTTTGAAGCATCTTTAGACAAAACTAATGGTACCACTAAATTCCTTGTGAAAAATCACGCAAGTTTGGTTTTTACATCATTAAGTTTCATGGATCATTAAGAGAGTTAGAGTGGTTCTTGCAAATGAAGTTGTTGAGGTTGATGATGCAACTATGGTGCACTAAGGCGGGTTTTTAGCTCCACTTGGTTTATATTTTATTTGGTGGGGGTGATACAATGGATGTATCACCACCCCAGTGGCAGAGGCTTGCGTGTATATATGTGTGTGACTGAAAGAATTGGGGTTTGGATCCCCCTCGCCCCAGTTCTTTTTATTTCTTTCCACCTTCAAGTAACTTTCATATATTATATCATGATTCCACCCTTATTATCACATGCATGTTAGTTCAGCTGACTATGTTTTGTGATGTGAACCAACCTGGCTTGGGTTCAACACCCACCAAGGCCATTTCTTTTTTTAATACTTATTTTTGTTTATTTTCTTCATAATTTCAAACTTTTACAACTTCTTCATTTTAAATCATTTTTGACCCATTATTTTTGCAAAATGCTCATGATGATGTATATTTTCTGTTTGTGAAAAGAAAATACCAAAAATATTTATTTTTATGGTACTTAGTCATGTTTAAATTGAATGATTTTTTTAGGGTTTCTTAAGACTTCTTTTGTTTCCTTTGAATGATCCCTTAATTTTATTTGTGCCCATGGACTTGTATGAACCTTGTGTAAACCTTATATGACGTTGTAACATTGTATGCCTTTGATTCACTTTAATTATCATGCTTGTTTCAATATTGTTTACATGTAAATGTATTGAAAATTTTCTTTTGTTCATACCATTGAAAATTTGGATGTTACCTTGCTATAAACATGTAATCTTCCTCCATATTTGTGTAAAATATTGATGTATACATGTGGTTTATGCTTGCCATATCATGTTGAAGTGTTTCCTAAATGATTTTATGCCTTAAATTGTAATCTTAGGATACATGTTTGTATGAGAGAACCTTGTGATGTTATCTCCTTCCTCAAAGCCATGATTGAACCCTAATTTACATGTTGGTTGTTACCTACTTGTCATGGATTATCCAAGCTTGTACCATGCTTATTTGTTCCATCAATGTCTCATTTTTTTCATATAATCTTATACATGGGTGTTTATGTGAATCTTTGTAAAGTTTCCACTTTGTTCAAAACCATGTTTGAAACCCTAATGCATACTTTCCTAAATTTTGACACTTAATTTGTATTCATGATGTTTTAGTATTGTTAGAACTATATTTCATGATTATTTATATTTTTTAATATCTATGGTTACCTTTGTTTGTAACCATTTGATTCTAAACTTCTTTAAATGAATGTTTGGTTGTTATCTTGTCTTCTGTTAATGTTATCAACCTTTACTTGATATTGTCACATACTTGCCCTTATCTTCTTAGTTGTTACCATGATCATATGTTTTCATCATGCTTGAATGAATATATCCTTGAAGTGTACTTGAATATTACCTTTTATATGTTACCTCTTAAACTTTATTAAGTTTTCCTCAAGTGATGTAGCTTGTTAGCTCTCATCAAAGAGTTGCATTTTTTCCTTAGTCCAAAGGAAAGTATCTCTGTTGACTTAATGTCATAGATAACTTATTTGTTACTATCCCTTGACCTTGTTAGAGTCATTGGGTTCTTCAACTAAGCCTTAAGTTAGAACCTATATCCCTTTGGCTTTGTTAAAATTAAGACTTTAGCATACCTTATTAGTAGTCCTACAACTTAGAACTTAGGTCTAGAGTTTGTTAACTCTAGGTGTGTACCATTGTTATGTGTACTCACTTTCCCCTTTGACTTTTGTTAAAGTTAGTCTCTAGTTAGGTCTTTCAACTTAGAGTTAGAGAGTTTTTTTTTAACTTTATGTAAGTATCATTGTTATGGATACTTATTCCCTTGGAACCTTGATCACAGTTAAGAGTTCCTCAACCCTAGTTAGGTGAACTACGATTGCTTTGATTTCATCCTTGTTAGGATACGTAGGCACGAGATGAGACGTCTTGGCGAGCATACCTAGTGTATATACTCATAGGTATTTACCTTTAGCACCTTTACCTTAGCAGATAACCATTAGCAAGCAAACATTAGCAATAACACAAATACCTAATAAGAGGTTTCTTTAGAGTACACAGATATTTAGGATGATAACACCTTCCTTAGGTATAACCAACCCGAATCTCGCAATCTCTTAACTTCATTGTTATGTAGCACACTTAGGGTTTTTTTATCTTTACTTTTTCCTTTGAATAAATCAAAGCTCGGTGGTGAAATTCAATGATTTGTGATTCAAGTTAATCAATAGCTTGATATCTGATTCTACCCGCAACACATACTTTACACTACCAATGGCTCAAAGCATCAAACCTCAACCTAAAATAAGACAACACAAAAGCATGATTCCTAGCATAAAACTTGGCAATTTATCATACACTGTTTTTTAAATTAATCAAGTCTTAGAAATCCAACGAAAAGTTCTAAAGCACCTGATCCTAAAGAACCAAATTAACCTCGACCCCATAATAACTGAAGAATTCTCTTAATTTTTGTTTGAGTAGGTTGTCCATTGGTAGCTGCCATAGCTACAACTAATTCTTCAACCTGTTTTAATTAATAGAAACACAATAACACATCAAAATAGATAGCAAGAAACTAAGATTGATATTAGAAATAAATCTTAAACACATAAATGATAAATTTAAATATGTATTTTAAAATACATCTTAGACAAAGATTTACTGGATAAGATACAAAAAGAAATGGGGTTTTGAACTCAGATCTACATAAAGTGATTAAACAAATATATGAAAAACATATTTTAGGAGAGAAATGCAGAAAATTGAGGACATACAAACAAAGACTTGGAACCCAAAATAGTTGATTCACCTGTCATACAAAATATTAACAAAAAGAACATTCAAAAACTCAACAGACTAATCTCTAAGTCATAATAGGTTAGCTTACCCCCATAATAGTATGCAACAAAGTACATATGGAACAAAACTCGCATTTGGATTAAATTTATTGGGTCCGTCGTTAGCAAGACCATGTCCACTATGTTACATAGAATTATATTATAAGAATCAATCAATAGACTACAATTCCAACAAAAACAAACATCTATTTTGAAAGTAGCAAAGGGAGAATCGAAGACGAAGGAGAAAGGGGGGCGACAGAGATCTAGGGCTTTGAGGGGAAAGAGAGACGGGAGAAAACGGAAATAGAAGTATATTAATGAACATAAAGAAACATACATTTGCTGTCTAAAAAATGTTCTGATTTCTTGGTGATTTCGTGGCTCCCGTGTCTACTACTAGAGATACTTGTGCAATGTTGAAGTGGAAGATGGAAAAACTTTGAAGGAGGTACAACAAATGAGACAGAATGAGACGAAATAGAGTGAGAAAGGAATAATAGGTTTAGTGTGTGATATGGTTTATGTTGGAACGAGAGAATTTTGTTTAAGGAAGTCAATTGTTGATGGACATTTGGCAGGAAGGGAGGGGCTTAGTTTGGATTTATTGTAATATTTTGTTATTTATCAAAGTGTTCAAAATGTAGTGCAAAATAAAATGGTTAAAAGGGAAATATGGTAAAGGCATGCAATCAACTTTTGAAGGGTTGATAGTTGATAATAATAATAATTTATACAATTTTACATAATTTTACGAAATAACATTACATCATACATAACATTATTATTTTTTAATATTTTACAAAAAAACATTATTTTACGACTTTATATTTTTAAAGTGTGGGTGTGTGATAAATGATGAAGATTTGAGTCTTGAATATGCTCATTTTAAGATTTCAAGTTTGAACTTTGATAGATGCAAATTATTTATAAAAATACTTTATATTTTTAAAAAAGATAAATTATATTAAATAATTAGAGAAAAAATGTAAAGAATAATTCTAAAAGAAGTTGTCAAGAGAAAAAAAATAAAAATAAAAATTTCAAGAATGAAAGAACCTAATAGTACACACACCCAAAGAATTCAATTGGGTCTTCAAATGAATTCCATAATTTTTTTATAATATTACGCACCTTCTAATTATTTAAATAACTCATCTATATTTATTAAATATCTATATAATTTTATCTAAAATTTTTAAATAGGTCTCATTAAACACTACAATATACCATAAATTAATTTTATATTCATATTTCTAAGTCAAATTTTAGTGTAGGAGCATTGATCAACGTTTTCAACCTAAAGCATGACGCACTAACATGAATATCTATAGTATGTTGACACAATGGCTATGGGATTCGTGAAAGAACGTTTACTCACCACCAATATGTCTGTTGGAAGAGTATCCATATCCATCATACTCATTTAAGTTTTTTAAATGGGTCCCATTCAGTTTGCTATATTATATTACACTTTTAAATTATTTAAACAATTCATCTATAATTTTCAAATATCCATTTAACACATTAAAAAATATAAAATGGGTCCCACTAAACTCCATAATTTACATCCATATATTTATTGGCAGTTGAAGAATAATATTTTATCTTAATTAAATAGGAAGTAATAGAATAAAACACTCATACAAGTAACAACGTGTGCAAATGAAACAACATTTTTTTCTATTAAATATCCATTATATTCAGACATAATGGCTTAAAAATTGTGTAGACACGACTTGAGTTCCACCTATATTTATGCTCTAAGCCAATTTAATGGGTTACACCACCATGCAATAATTTTCACTTTATTTAAATTTTAGGATGTTGAAGATTCTTTTTGGCTAAAATGTTGATTATTTCGAAGGGTTTTATGGGAGGATCTTCAGGATATTAGTGTTAACATGAGAGAGTCGTGGCTTGTGGCAGGCGATATGAACGATATTGCTTTTGATCGCGAAAAGAAAGGGGGAGCTACTATTTGTCAAAACAAGTGTAAGAAGTTCATAGATTGGATTGACAAGTGTGGTTTGATTGATTTGGGAGCTGTAGGGGCTAGGTTTACGTGGAAGGGTCCGATCTATAATGATGGTCAACTTATATATGAGAGACTTGATAGAGCTCTTTTCAATGAGAATTGTAGAATCTACTTTCGTGATGGTTTTGTTTAAGTTCTTCCTTGCCTAGATTTCTCAGATCATCATCCTATCCTAATATGTCCTCAAGGAAATATTACAAAGTATAGTCAATCGTGCTTTAGATTTGAGAGTGTGTGAATGGTAGAGAGATATTATCACAACATGGTTGAAGCTTTTTGGAAAGAGAATATGCCTTTAACTAATAATCTGGTGAATGTCATGGAGGGGGCAAAGGAGTGGAAGATGTCAACACTGTCTGAAGTCACAAGGAGGAAGAGAGAGATTATGAGAAGGTTGGAAGGGATTCAAAAGGTGTTGTATAGGAGAACGCATGTTGGTGGCCTGCATCGAATAGAACAAGAACTTTAAAATGAAATGAATGAGATGTTTAAGAAAGAAGAATTGATGTGGTTCCAAAGATCTAGATTCAAGTGGCTTATTGATGATGATCGTAATACTAAGTATTATCATATTAAGACGGTTCAACGCAAAAGGAGAAATAAGATTGTAATGATTAAGAATAGTGGTAGACAATGGGTAGAAGATGAAGACAAGGTTTATCAACTATTCATTGATCATTACAAGAGGATTTTTGACCTGAAGGAGATAGGGCAGCCTTGGGAGTAAACTAAATTCACGTTTCCAATGATCGATCAAGCTAAGTTGGTTAATCTCGGAGATAGCATTACCGAGGAGGATATAAAACATGCTTTGTTCTACACGGCTCCTTAGAAAGCGTCGGGGCCGGACGGATTCCTTACCGGTTTTTACCAAAAATCATGGAACATTGTTGGAGGTTCTGTTTGTAAGTATATCAAGGAGGTGTGGGACAGTCCTAGTAGGTTGGTAGACATAAACAAAACTGACATTTATCTTATTCTTAAGAAGGAGCATCCAATGTTTGTTAACAAATTTAGACCAATTTCATTGTGTAATGCCATTTACAAGTTGATTAGTAAGGTTGTAGTGGAATGACTTAAGACATGCATTGCTTCAATTGTATCACCTTATCAGTCAGGTTTTGTTTTAGGTAGAAGCATCCATGAAAACATAATTGTGGCACAAGAAGTCATACACAATATGGACAAATCAAAGAGTAGGAAAGACCACTTTGCTATTAAAGTTGATTTATCCAAAGCTTATGATAGATTAAACTAGGAGTTCATATGGTGGATTCTGGAGGAAATTATGCTCCATACGAAGATGATCAATTTAATCATGCATAAAGTTACGAGTGTTGAGACGAACATTAAGTGGAATGGCGTGCAGTCAGAACTCTTCAGGCCTATGAGAGGGATCCGACAAGGAGATCCCATCTCCCCCTGTTTATTTGTGCTTTGCGTGGACAAATTGTCTCATATCATCATGCAAGCAGTGGAGGACGATGAATGGAAAGCGATGAAGGTTAGCAAACATGGGCCAACAGTGTCCAATCTCATGTTTGTTGACGATTTATTGTTGTTTGGGGAAGCGACAACCAAGAAGGTAAGATGTGTCATGAGGAGTTTGGAAAAGTTATGTGCTTTGTCTGGTGAAGAAGTTAGTCAAGATAAAACGCGAGTTTTCTTTTCAAAACAAGTTAACAAGAATATGAAGGAGCAGTTACTTCATATGTTGGGTTTCAAGGAAACAAATTTGTTGGGGAAGCATCTGGGTGTTCCGTTGACCGGTAAAGCTCCGAAACGAGAAAATTATCATTATATCATTGATCAAGTTAGTGAGAAGCTTAGGATGTGGAAAGGCAACAATTTAGCTTTTGTTGGTAGAGTGACTCTTACCAAGAGCATTGTCGAAGCTATCCCTATTTATCCAATGATGACTACCATGTTACATATGACTTGCATTAAGGAAATTCAGAAGATTCAATGATGATTTATATGGGGGGATACTGATGTAAAAAAGAAATTTCATGCAGTAAATTGGAAAACGGTTACTCGACCGAAGGAGGAAGGAGGCTTAGGAATAAGGAGCTTAGATATTATTAACAAGGCTTGCCTTTCAAAGATAGCGTGGAAGCTGCATAATAGAGTTGATGATCTTTGGTACCAAATTATGAGAGGTAAGTATGACAGAAGCAGGGACAATTTCACATTGATTGCGAAGCCTACAAATTCATCGTTATGGAGGAATGTTGCAAAGTTATGGCCTAGAGTTGAGGAGCGTTCCTTGTGGTAGGTAGGAGATGGAAAAATGGTAGGCGCTTGGATTTCAAAGTGGCTTGGGCAGGACATTAAAATCATTAAGAAAAATGTTAACATTCTGATCCATTTGCAGTCTGCCAAGTAGGGGTGGCAAAATGGATGGATTAGATGGATATGGATTGAATTGTTAATGGACAGATTAAAACAATCCATTAGTCCATTAACAATCCACTAAAATTTTCTTAAAATTATCCAATCCAATCCATCAATTAAGAATAAAATCCATTCAATCCATTCATTAACATATTTTTAATGCATGGATATCCATCCATCCAACTTTTTTTTTTATTTCGTAAAAATAAATATATTTTTTATTTTTGAAAAATTCATTTTTTGTTTAAAAAAAATTGATATTTTAATTTTTGAAAAATATTGATTTTTTTTTCAAAAAAAAAAGTTAGTTTTTTTATTAAAAAAATTAGTTTTTTTTTCGAAAAACAAATCAGTTTTTTATTTTGAAAAAAATCCGACTTTTTTCGAAAAAAATCTTTTTTTTTCGAAAAAAATTCGATTTTTTTTTAAAAAATTACAGTTTTTTAATTATTTTAAAAATATATATATATATATTAAATTATTTTTAAAAAAATAAATATAACGAAAATAAAAATAATTCATTGGATCCTTGAAATATGTTGGATGGATTAAATTCATCTATGCATATAAATGGATGGATTTAATCCAATCCATTAACTTATTTTTTATGTGGTGGATGGATTGGATGGATTGGATGAATTTTGTCTTAATGGATATAATTGTCACCTCTACTGCCAAGGTTGTTGAATTGTTGAATGATAATGGCGGCTGGGACCAGGAATAGTTAAATAGTTGGATTCCATACCACATAACTAGCAATATATGTGGTATGAGGCCTCCAACGGAAGAAGCGAGAAGTGATTATTGCATCGTTTTTTGAGCTAAGGGCCAACAGTTCACGTTTGCACATATGTATGACAAATTGGATGAGGAAATTATAATGGAAAAGAAAGAAATTTAGAAGGAGTTTTGGAAGCTAGAAGTCCAAGAAAGACATAGGAGTTTTATTTGGATTCTTATCCATGATGGACTTCTCACTAATAACAAGAAAAGAAAGATGGGAATGGGCAGTGCAATGTGTAGATTTTGCGGAGATGAAGAAGAAGACATGTTTCATGTTCTAAGAGATTGTCCGCTGACTATGCCTCTTTGGCTATCGGCGGTGCACACTAATATGCAATTGTTTTTCTTTGCAGGTGACCTTGATAATTGGCTTGAAGATAACATAAAATATAATATGGGATGGAATTCTAATGAGTAGTGACAATCCTTTTGGGCTACTGCTTGTTATCAGTTATGGTGCTGGCATAATAAATAAATTCATGAGGAAGGATATTCTCGACCACCAAACCTGATGCATGTAATTAACAGACATGTCCAGGAATACAAGCATGGTCAACTTTATAATATAATTACTAGTAATCACCATAGGGAATTGATTCATATCAAATGGGATGCTCCTTCGCCGGGGAGAGTTAAATTGAATTAAGATGGTGCAAGAGATATTATAGGCTTAACGAGGTGCAGAGATGTTGTGAGAGGTAATGAAGGAGAATGACTAGGTGAATTCTCAAAGTCCCTAGGAGTGGGAGATACATATATTGTAGTTGTGGGGGTTTTGGAAGGTTTCCCGCTTGTGATAGATTTGGGGTGTAATAAAATAGATATTTATGTTGATGCCCATCAAGTTCCGTATGATAATAATAATTATTATTCTAGCAATTTATTGGGGGTGAAAATCAATCAAAAAGACAAAGTCTCTTTTTTGTGAAGGTAATGATATTAAAGTTTTGTAAGTCTGTTGTGAGACAAATCTGTGTGCAGATGCACTAGCCAAGATGAGAAATCAATTAGCTAATGGCATTTATTTTTTCAGATCGTGTCCTTTAACTATAGAATCTTTGTATGAAAAAGATTTAGTTGGGTCTTCTTTCCTTAGAGTTGTTTTTGTTTAGTTTTTATTTTTGGGCTTATCCCCTCCCTTATATAAAAAAATGTTAATTATTTTCTTATTTCCACAAATCATGCCAAAACAATAACTTTAAAAATATTCTCACTCATCTCTATTACAAGAGACTAGGTCACTATTAAAATATATTATTATTGTTATTAGAATATTATTATTATTAAAATATTATAGGATCATATATATATATATATATATATATATATATATATATATATATATATATATATATATATATATATATATATATATATATATATATATATATATAGAGAGAGAGAGAGAGAGAGAGAGAGAGAGAGAGGGGGGGGAGGGAGGGAGAGAGAGAGGGGGGGAGGGGTACTCTGCTTTTACAAATTCATATTTTCAATCAAAACAACTAATATCTCCTAAAATAGAAAGTCTAGAAAGTCTCCCTACAAAATAAAAAATAAATACACACAAAATACAAATAATATGTTGAAAAAGAAAAACATAAATCTTAAATTCCTAACTATGTAGAAGAATAGAAGACTGATATGATAATGCTAAGCTCTTTATCCTTTCTCTAATGGATTCCCTTTCTCTTCTCCTCTCTTATCCAAAACTCTCCACCACAAAGTCCTTCTCCTTTCTCTCAAACCCTAATTCACCCCTCTCTGCATCTCTCCCCCAATCTCACATTTCACCTCCCACCAAAAAACCCCAAATTCCATCCCTCAAACCCCATTCTCCAATCTCACTTCAAAATCCCCTCACAAAATCATGCTTTTCCCTCGCTACTATCAACCTTCTCGCTCCACTCCAATCCCTCGCCGTCGAACCCACTTTACTCGAATCAGACGCAGGCAGAA